GAACTATTTAAACTTACGCAACCTGTAATCAACGCGTACGCTAGATTTGGCGCGCTGTTAAATGAGTGTGTTTACTAGATTTGGCACTTTTCTGCGTACATTTTTGCTGCAATTTTTTTACGGCTTTCAAAACAGAATAGTACCCCTGTTTATTATCATTTTGAATAATATATTTACAATTAATTATTAAATAGAAAAAATAGTTATTAAAAATACATATAAATACAAATGAAAATCTACAGAAATCAAAACTAAGCAAAATACGCACGATGAAAGCAAGAGAAAAAAAAGGGTCTGCTCTTGCTGAAAATCAAATAGCTAAGTGAAAACAAAGCACCGCGGTCTTCAAAACCAAAAACAGAAAAGAATAAAAACAAATATAAATAAATCTGCACTCTCAGCCTCCCCCCGTGTTTGAAGCACGAGACCAGACTATGTGACTCACTCCCACGTCACAGGCGCTACCAGTACAGTGTGTTCAGTCCAAACAAACTATACACTGAAGACTTCACTATGTGCAATATTTCAAAGATAAAAATTAAAAGTAATACAGAATAGGCAGATTAGCATATGAACAACAAAATTATATAAATATTCTTTTACATTGATAATCTTTATATTTAGAAAAAAAAATCTGAAACATTTCTTTGAAAAATCAGTGTCTTTAAAAACTGAATATATCACAATGTTAATGATTTGCTTGTGTGGTGCTGCCATCTATTATTTATTAAAGAGATTAAAAGTAACCATTAGAGTAGTTTTCATGATATTTATCGATTATTTTCAGTATCTAAAGAGGGAATATTTTTGGTGTGTTCACACCGAACACACTGCGCCGGAAAGGGTTAATAAAATACACTATATAAATATCATTATTGCATAATGATGATCTGCACTGTATCAGGGCATCACATTCACCAATCTGCTTTGTCCTTTTTCTATATACACCAGCTGCTGTTGGGCTAGAACAGCATTATTCACTAGAATTTCCTTAGCCAGTACATGAATATATTGTGAATTTATACTTTAATTTCTAAAAATTAGGTGTTTTCCATTATTTTTCTTTTTACTACATATCACTAGTATACAATGCAAAGCATTATTAATAATTAAAAAAAACTGGTATTTTCTGATTATCTGCACCCCTATCAAAAAGTTTCAAAAAATATTTATGTTGCACAGCAATACACTGCCAAAATAGTTATGTGGCAACTCATGATGCTCCCCAAAACTATTTATGGGGTAACACAGTTATGCATATAGCATGTCTGTTTTCCCTGGTGTGCAATGTCAAATTTATACACATGCTGAAATTTACGCACACGCTCCTATGCATTGTCTGATTTTCTTCAAGTGAAAACAGATCACTGTGTACAAGGGAGAACAACAGTGCAGAAAAGTAGGATCTCTCAAAAGTAAGCATTTTATTACTGATGTTTCTTGCTTTTTTTAGCTTATTTTTTATTAGGGCGATGCTGTCATTTTGATAATAGCTGTTGCCTTTAATGACAAGTGAAAGCGTACATTTATGCTTTACAAAGTCACCAAGAAATTCGTGTCGAAGAGCATGCAGATCATCAGAAAATACAAAAAACTATATTTTTTTAATCAATGATCTTACTTTCTTTTAAATGGCTGTAAAAGTTAAAGAACGTTAAAAAAATCACAAAGTAACTTAGAACACTTCAAAATGAATAATGTTTAATATCGCAAATTATGAATATGATATTATACTTAGTATAATATCATATTCATAATTTGTGATATTAAAACATTATTCATTTTGAAGTATGAAATTACTAAACAGTAAAAAATATGGAATTATACTAAACAGTAAAAAAAAAAAAACTAATAATAATAATAATTCAAACACAAAAAAATAGAAAAGGGATAACAATCAGAGATGTGCCATCAATGGACTAGAAGAACTAGGTTAGTCATTAACATTTTAGGTAATAACAAAACATTTTTATTTAACATTTAATAGTATCAAAAGGAACATTAGTTTACCTCTTCTGTGAATGCATGCTATTCGAGTGTTTGTCACATATTCAGGTGAATCTGATGCATTTGTGTTGTGTCGCCTCTATCAAGAAAGGATTATCTAATTTTTACCTATTCCCATAACCAAAAAATATGCTGTTAACAGCTAATATGGCAGCTTGAAAGAAATATTAATTTACTCATGATTTTTACAAGCAAAGTTAATTTTTTGTGCTATATTTTAATTTTTGTTCATTAAAGTAATCATGATATATGAGAAAATTCAAAGTAAAATATACTGGCATAACTCTAAGTTTGAAGCACGCAAAAAGGGAAATAGTAAGAAGAACAAGTCCCTACACACTAGACATAATCGAGCATGCATGAACAAATTAAGGAACCTCTCACGATAAAACACTGATTAGCTCTCAATTTCACAGTCTTGTCGTTTTTATAGCCTACCTCCCATATCCATTAAAATATTACATTTTCAAAAGAAAAAAAAAATTCACAAAAGATAAATCTTCTCCATTCATTCTCATCTGTGTAAAAATGAAATATTTATACCCATTATGTTAATGTGGAATATTATACAGTTTTAAAACAATTACCTACATGCAAAATCAAAACTAGTCTATTTTGTTAGCCTTGTATTCTTTTTGAGACTATTTTTCTAATTAATTTATTTTCAGAACATTCATAAAATTTAAAAATACATTAATTGATTTATTATAGCAAATCATTGTAATTTTCTCTTCTCCTATGATTTTTACAAATTCATCAGAGCATATTATACTATATTGTCATATTGAGTATACTATATTACATATTATATTATGTATTTAAAAATATTAAGACTGTCGTGTTAACACCACCCTGAAAGAAACTAATATTTCTGAAAAAATAAATAAATACATAAAAAACATAACTATAGAGATTCATCTCACAAAGACAAACACTTACTAAAATTATCAGGCATCATGGATGATCATCTTAAAGAAGATTATAAAGTTTACGAGAAAATTCTGTCCATTTGCAAAATGAAAGAAAATACTATTAGAGGTGATGAGGTCTAATACTTGGCTGACATCTGCTTTAGTTTTGCATTATTTTCCCTTCAAAAAATTTTGAAAGAAGAGAAACAAGTGATAATCAGAGGGAGAGATAATCATTTAAGGAGTATGGTAAACACAGCAAAAATTTATAGCTTAACTCTGTGATTTTCTAGAGTCACCAAATATGTGGTCTGGCATTATCATTATGCAAGCATTGCCTGCCTCTTATCTTTGATTGCTTAATTTAAATCATCTATTTGCTGGTGGTATCTCTCTGAATTGGGCTTTCTGTTACGTTTCAAAAGCTTATAATGTATTGGACATCCCACAATACACAGCATTCTTTTATTCCTCTTATTTTCTCAAGCTTGGTTTAGAGGTGGAAAGGGTGGGTTGCGTGGGCTCACAGTATGCTGTTTTCCTAATGATGTTTTTATAGGTAATTCACTTTTCATCACCAGTTCTTCTCATGTAAGAAAGGTTTACTTTTGTTCTGATCAAGCAGAGATGTGCATATGACTTGATCAAGCAAATTTTTCTCACTCAAGCCATGAAACACCAATCTGGAACATGTACAGACAAATCCTAGTGTTTGAATACAGTCCAAAATAGTTCTATAAGCTGAGTTAAGATTTTTCAGAATCTCTGATGTCAAAAAAGGATATTGCTCTGCCATGATATTGACATTATCATCATCCATCAAAGATGGCCACCCAAAATATGGCTTACCATTACGGTTGCCATTAAAAATTTTCATTAAATTTTGATATATTTCCATAGCATTTCTTCCTTGTTGGAATTTGTACAAAATACAGTGTCTTAAATGAACTTCATCAACAGCCATGTTTAAATAATCGCGTCTGACATAATAATGACATGAGACACATCCATTTCAATTGACTTAGAAGAGCACATGTATATAATTGCACTGACAAAAAGAGGTAGCCATATGTGTTTCAAATGAACATGTGCATGTGTGTTGAAACTTAAAATAACATTATCAAACAGAGCTTTTCAGTAGTCCTTAGTTTTTCTTTATACCTCGTGTCCTTTGAAGAAAGCTATGGCACACCACTACTACTATCGGAGCATATTCTCAGGATGACACTTATAAATATTTAAATCCTTTATGATTTTATTTTTGTTTTTCTATATTATTGTAAAGAAGTATATTGCTTAACTCATTTATTTATTTGTTGTTTTTAGGATGATAATTTTATGATTTGTTTTCAAATATTAATTGAATTTGTGGCCACATGTTTTGTATTTATTTGTTTATTTCTTATACAGCATTATAGATCTTCCAACTCTGAGTGCAAAAATGTTTGAACTATAAAAATAGCCCATGTAGAATGTGAGATATGTTCAAATTTATTCCTGTGAACATTTTTTATTTTAATGGGCACAAAAGCTCTAAATTAGCTATGAGATTAGCTCTTAATCAGCTCCAAGAGTCATTGGTTAGCTGAATTATGATTTAGATTTTACCTTGCATATGATTTTGAGGAATGGCAACATTTCCCATGCACTAAGAAGGAACTGTTTAATATTCAGGTTCTCCTTGAGCTACTTTCAGCTATTCATTGTGCTGTGTGTTGTAAATTTTTATAATAAATCGTTAATTTCTTGCTGCTGATCTGGATTGATTATTTTAAGATACAAACAAACTTGTAATCGACAGCAATACATAATACATTTCAGAGCAAAAATGACACTGGTAACTGAAAAGAAAAATGCAACTGAGGATTTCAAAAATGATAGAGGAAGAAGAAAAGGAAATTTATATGGCTAGACTGAATAAACACGGATATGGAGAAAGACGAATTTTAGCCTTCAAGCAGCAGAGAAAAAAACAACAAAGTATAAAAAACACTGATTGTAATTTTATTCTGGTACTATTATCCCATTATTGCCTTATTAACTTGCTTACAATAAGCAACTTTTAGTAATTCATTTTCTTACCTTCTTCCTGAAGTTGTGCCAGGTACAGAGCTAAAAATGTATCTGATATCAATTCAGGTCCTACTAATAATGAATTTAAATTAAACCACTGATATCCAATTTTTCTAATCGTTAACCAGTGATCCCAGAAATTGCAGATATAAGCACTCTGTTGCCTAGGGGGAAAAAATGTATATATACTGTAAAAATAACAGAAAACACTTAAAAGTATATACAGTCAAAAGTCGTTAATCCGGACTCGTCGGGACTTCGGCGATTCCGGATTATAGATCATCAGTTTAAATCTGGTAAGATGGCATGCAGAAATTATAAAATTAAAAATATGAAACCGTAATTTATGAAATAAAGAACAATTATGATCTAAAGGGTATCAAAATTTACAAAAAAAAAAAGCGTTTTATATTTGTTTGTTTACTTTATTAAACATTTCTTTCAATGTAAGTTGTTTAAGTTGCTTCGTTTTATGTGATAATACTTTCTCTTTAATTCTATAAACAGACATAATTTCTTGCTCAGTTACAAAGTTCTGCTGTTCAAGTCCTATAATTGCTGTGTCGAGAATACCGACTAATTTGTCAATCAAAAACTTTTCATTTTCAATAACCTCTGTGTCACTTTCTTCACTATCAAAAGCGAATTATAATGACGAGGAATTTGATTTAATTCATATCAAAGACGGAGTATCTCCACCCCACCCGCCGCAGAGCAGCGTGAAATTGATAAACAGATTTCGGAATGGTTAGAAAAACAAATTATATGCTTTTATCCATTTTTTGCAGCAATTCCACTTTTTGTTTAATGGACTTTGAAACATGCTTTCGCTTTGTAGATTCTTTACATATTAGTAAATATATATCGGAAATTCTATTTGACATAATCGAAAGTTCTAGCTTACTTTTATAAAATTCTAACAGACTGCAAAAAATAATAAGCTGGATCCAATTCGAAGATTAAGAAACAACGCAATCTGCAACATTAATTGAATTAGATAATTTTAGCTTAGCTTATACCGTCCATTATACATTAAACGCGCATGCGCACACACATATTCGTAGCCGGAAAGGTCTTACGCGTCAACGTGACGCATGCGCAGAAAGTTTGTAGCTTTGAGGTCTGGATTATAGATCATTCCGGATTATGGGTGTTCGAATTAACGACTTTTGACTGTATAACATACGCTCAAAAATATATTTATAGGCAATTAATGAATAAAGAAGTGTAATAAATATTTGCACAGAGATAACAATTTATATAATTTTTTTTAAAGTTAAATAAATTTTAGTTACTTCCTGATTATTCCCACAACCCTAAAAAAATCATGAAAAAGTAGTGATGAGGCTATATTGCTAAAAAATATTTATGAGACAACTTACATTATAGGCCAAAATGTATATATGTGGCAGCTCAGGGTGCGCATCACACATATGTGTTTGAGCACGTGCAGATTTGCACTTTTGAAATTCAATGGCCCTTTTTTACTTCCTTGTACAAAAGTAAAAAAAGTATTGTAATCATGAAAAATTCCGAGTACCACATTTCAACAAAAATATCTCTTTTGATCGCGATCAAATGCAATTTAACGATGTTTTTGCATGACATCTGTATGTAAGGACAGAATAAAGGAATCTTTTTCTCCAAATAAATTATAAAACTGATTTAAAATTGATTCAGAAGAGATTTTTCCATACTGTCTGTCTGTCTGTATGTATGTATCTCACATATCTTAAAAATGAATAGCCTCAAAATGTTGAAATTTTGTATGTGGGACTGCTATAACATGTAGATGTGCACCTCCTTTTTTAGTTGCAATTGGCCGCACTAAAAGTATATAAATATACGTATATGTGTAAGATATAAATTTTAATTGGCTATAACCTCTTTTATTTTTTATTTAATTTGGAGACTTTATCTCTCTATCTTTAAAATAGTGATAGAAGTCTCAACCGTGTCATTCAAATTAATCATGCCATTTTATGCAACACTTAACCCTCCAGCACACGTGCTTGGCAATTTTACATGAGCACGCGTGCATTGTATTTTTTACGACATCCAATATTTTACCATTTTTGGCACGAAAAATGACAGAAATGAGTTAATATTGATAATAAATTTGTTACGAAATAAAATATTAATCTTATTATTGCAAAATATAAATGATATCACATTCAAATATAAGTAAATTATTTTTAAGTTCTTATGTTAGTGAGATGGAAACGCAATGATGTATTTCCTTATAGAACATTTTAAATTTATTATTTAGTAATTATATTTTAAAATCGAAGCTAATTTTAACATTCATCAAAGGCAAGTATAGTATTATTTTTACGTATTTTTGCCTTGCCATGAAGTAAGAACTGAATTAATTGAATGAGAAATACATCTCTAATGAAATTCGAGGAAATAAGTGTTCCATATTAGCAGAAAATACTGTTGACAGTCTGTTTTGGACAGAGCAGAATGTTTCCGAGTAGTGCATGCGCATCAGGAAAGCACCGCTGAATCGTCTGTGAAAAACTGTTCATTTTTTTATCTAATTTATTTTATACATCATTTTAGATTTATTTTAGTATTCGAATAGATCATGGCAACGATTAGATAGTTCTTCAGGTATAATTTTTTTTTTTTCATTCTCAGTAATAAAATGAATGAGATGTAACGTTCTTAAATGAACCTAGCGCTAGAGTACTGCTATGGTAAATAAATATAGTGAATTTTAAAAAGGCGCATTTATTCTATTGTGGTTTATGTGCTATCGATGAAGTAGATTTAATTCAATTCAATAAGTTTAAACGAAATGCAGGAAAAAATGTGTTTAATATTACACGCAAGGAAGTCAAGTAGTGCACACATCAGATATTTTTATTAGCATTCTTTTTGCACTGAGAACATCTGTTTTTATTGTAACAAACTATAACGGAATACAGGAGTTTGTCTGGTCATAAAAAAAAAAGCTTTGCATTTCTTAGGAAATATGGCATTCCGGTTAACAGTTTTTATTTATTTCTCAATGCATAAAATGCCCTTAGAAATGTGGCCTTCAGCTATATGATACAAATAAAATACAGAGTATAAGCAAACAGGCAAAAGCAGAACCAGAATTTAGACAAGAGATGTTTAAACAATCAAAGAACAAAAGTTTGAAATACTAAGAATGAAAGTCTTGTGTGATCCAGAGCTTTGCAATAACATTTTTTGAGACTCTATGTTAGAACAGGATAAAAAAAGGGGAAATGACCATCAATGAAGCCAGAATCCCAGAAAGGCACTCAGGACTAAATTTCTAATTTTGTTCAAATGACTGACCAAGCACTTCCAACAGTTAGTTGAAATGCAACTACCGTACTGTCTCAACAGCAATCTGGTAAACTACTCAAATTTTTTCTCCACGCTTTGTTTTCAATATGAATTTTAAGATTACAAATAAAGGAATTTTTAACCTTGCTGTCTATGATCTAACAAGTTATTTTACAAGATGTTTTATTGGAAATATTAAGCATTTTTGGTACTTTTTTGCAGATCATCCATTGTCTCAGTTTCAGGTATATAACAGAGAGATGGTATCCCCTGCAGAACAATTCTCTTTTGGAAATTAGATAAATATTTGTGTAATTATTAGCATTCTTGAATTTTTAAACATGAAGCTGGTTTACCTTGATTGGTTATGCTATGTAAGGCAGCAAAATAATCTGAAAAAACAACAGCACTTGAGAAATATGGGAGTCTGTATTTTAGTGTTAGAAGGTCTCATCTCATCATGAAAGTCCATCTCAGCACTGTGAAAAATGAGAGGTAAATAACAGAAGAAAATACTACTGAAATTACCAGTACCAGCTTTACACTATCTACCAGGTTTAGAGCTATCTGTGTAAATATGCAGTGATTCATTATTTGGATAATGTTTTTGTTCTATCGCTAGGGAAAACAAAATTTCTAGACTGCAGTTTGATTTCAGAACAGTCTCACAAAGATCCAGTTGCAAAGCAGTCTTTGGATTTCAGCAGGATAAGAGCACTAGTAAGTGAGATGGGTAAAAATTTACTTCATATTTTAATTTACCCTTCAAAGGAAACCCAACAAAACCCTGAGAAGTTTTAAACCTTTGTGTTTGGCAATTAATCATAAGGCTCTTAGGCATATGAAGTCAGAAAATTTTTTCAAAAAGCTATAATTTGGAAATTTTTATCTCACATAACTGGGAAATTTCATGATAAATTTATATATGAAGTAGTTCTTAAATATTTATAAACTTGGCACAGAGGCAGCCTATTGATTAGGCACAGCAGTAGAGACTACCAAAACTGGCATTTTATGAAGTGGTACCTTTTAAATGACCGAATTTTATGAATATGCAATATGAAAAATTACAAGCAAGTATTAGACTGCAACTTGGAAACACGCTTCAAGATAACTATATCTTGTTTACAACAGTTGTTCATTTTATTTATAATTGGACATCAGTGAATTTCTGTGAAGCAGAACTGAGATTATCACCAAATACAACCACAGATTGGTATAATTACCTCAGAAAAGTGTGTGTATCTTCTACAGAAAAAGAAGAATGCGAAAAACTAGGTGGCACTGGATGAATGACTGAAATAGACGTAAAGATACCTAAACAAACATTTCTCTCCAAAGTTGGTAATGAGTTTGTGACTTTTTAGTGGGAGATGTGAATAATCAAAAAACTTATTTTTTGTTCCCTTCCCCCCAATTACTAGAACAGCAAAAAAAATTCACACAAGCATTCTAATGATACAAACCTAACACCATGAAGATAATAAAATACAGTGACTCTTCTTTATATGCACACTTTTCATATGAGATTTTTAACTTTGTTGACTTTTTGAGGAAGATATTTAGAGGGATTTTAAGATTTGGCAAAGGCCAAATGATGCAATGTCAGCCATAAAATTCTCTCATGTAAAAGGCATTATTTGAAGCAAAAGACTTCGTTTAAATTGTGATAAGATGAAGTTTTAATACTAATGCAGAACCAAAACTGTGCTAATGCTGTAACAGCTTTAAATAGTATTAAAATCTTGTAGTTTAAATAATTTAAATAGATGAACATTAAGGTATTTGTTAATGGCAATATTTGAAACCAGACTCGAGTGCCACGTGCGACTCTCGCACGAAGAATGTAATTTATTTTTAAATTTAGAATATGTTTTCTCTTCTTGTTTGTATGTCGCCATTTTTGAGTGTTAAATAAAAGTTATTGCTGTGTTCCATCATTGGAGTTGCTCCATATCGCCAAAGAAGTATTACAATGCCAACAACTGTACCCAAAACTGTGTAACATTTTTCTAGCCAGCATAATATTTTTCAGACACAATGCATCTTGAATGTTACCATATATTTAGCGTCCACAGTTACCTTTGGTGATAACTGCTGCTTTGTTAATGGAAAAGTACTTCCCCCCAATAGAAAATTATGTAAAAACTTACGTAGGATCACGCCTTGCATTTTGAGCCAATGAGCATTGACTGTTATAAGGTATCAGTTCAAGCCCCCATACTTTCAAAGCACATGCAATCACCTGAACAGAGAAGTAACCACTATCATCTACATTTCCAGAAGGTTGCTGTTGGAAAGAAGAAGAAGAAAAAAAAAAAAAAAAAAAAAAAAAAAAAAAAGAGTTAAATTTAAAAAAAAAAAAAAAAAAATGAAAAAAATAATAATAAAGATCTGCATGTGTAATAATTATCTAATATAAAATTCAAATTTATACATCTATTGATATTTGTTATGGATATTAAGCTAAGAAATTCATTATTTTACGAATTTAGGAAAATGACACAAAGTTAACAAATTAAATGCATTGATGTAATGCATGAAATTTTGCTTAATGTGATCAGGTTTGTCCATGGTTGATTGAAAACATTAAACAACAAAAAATGTAATGCAAATATGAACATAATTTAATTACTTTAAGGCACATATTCTAGAAACATATTTTACAGCATGTTTATTAAATAAAGTTCAAAATTTTAATCAAAATTATCTCCAGTTTTGAAAAAAACCTTGTTTATAAATTGTTTAATATTCATAGTGCTTCAGTAAACTATCTGACTGATGCTGCATTCTGAATCCTAAAAAAAGTTCCTATTTTCAGCATTTATAAGGAATTTTTTATCAACTTTATCTTTTTCATGACATTTTCTTTATACATGGATTTGTTTGCATCTTTGTGACACTCATAAAGAGCTGCAACTTGAAATTTTTCATTCATAAGCATAAAAATTTTCACAATTCACATCAGATGGAAATGCTGCATTATTCTCTTAAACTTTATTTTCTTAAGCATTTATTTAATGGTTGTTTATATTTAAAATAGTTAATTATTGTTTTTTCTGAGCTACAGACATATATTCAGCAGATACAACACACGGAAAAAAAAAAAAAAAAAGTTTTCCTTTTCAATTTGCTCCTACATTCATGTTTATATTATGAAAATTTCTGGTTATCTTATGACAGTAATATGTTTTTTTCATCTTCAGTAATCCTTTGATTACATGGTTGAAATATGGTCATGATATTTGTTTGGACTGAATGCACAGTTACGTTTTCGGTTGACACTCATATGCTGTACTACTAAACTGCCAGTCAGAAGATGGATATCATTTCCAATTCATTTCCACATTTAAAAACTATTTATTAAAAACATTTTATATCATTGACAGTCTTTAGCTTAGGCTTGATTAAAAAAAAATATTTTGTAATTTTCATTACATTAAATGACTTGTTCATTACAGTAAGTGATGAATTGTCTATTTTTTGTACATAAACAAGTGGACCATCAACAATTCCTTAACAGTATTTGAAGGACAACAAAAAGTACAACCATACTAAATGAGAATTAAAACAACAATAAACAACAAAAATCTGAGAACTGTCTTTCCCTTTAAAGGTGCTGATAAATAATACACTAAATAAAAACATGACATGAAACAGCTTGCGACTTTGCTAGTCAAACTTATCTTTAAGCTTTTCATAAATTTAAAATTAATTAAAAAAAACCCTAATACTCAACAGCACCAATACGAGTTAAAAGATTCGTTTTTAATAACAACAACAACAAACAAAAAAACAAAACAATGAAAGTCCATTTACAAACAGCAGCAAATGCACACATTAGAAACTAATATATATCAATAAAATTTTAAATATGCATACTTCCCAACCTACCACACTCAGAAATCAGGAGATTTTTTTTAATCAGCGAGAAAAAGATTTTTTAAATGATAAAAATATATTTTTAATAATAAAGTACTTTAAATAGTTATTAATTAATAACTGAAAGTTCAGTTACTAATTCTTAAATGCAAAAAATATAAAAATACTTGCGTGTAAAAAAAAACATTATTTGCATCTTTTAACAAAAAATAAATACTTTAATTAGTTTTCATACGAATGCCACATATGCTTACTTTTGCTAATAAAAGTTTTTCTAATGTGTCATATCTGATATTAGATTTAAATTTAGTCCCTGTTTCTCAACAACACTGAAAATTTTTTTACACTCTGCATTATGCGCGGAACTGTGCAACATTATTTTAGACAGTTCACTATACTTTAAAATTCTATCAGCATCTTTTCTTTTTTTAATTAAACTCAAATGGATATCTATCCTAGCTTTACAACTTTATCCAAGTTTTCTAATTGTAAATTGCAAAACTGTGACTGCAATGTATCAGTTGCAACATCAATATCATCATCTTTTATGACTAAATAAAGTAAAACTAGAACTCTATTTCAAAAATATCTTATACCAGAAAAAGATGCATTTGCTAGAACAGAAACATCTGCAACTTTTGGCATATAAAATCACTTCATCACTGACAGGAAATTTATGTAGTACGTAATCACATACTCAGCAGAAGTAGCTTCTAATGTGGAAATAAAACTTATTTTTCTTTTCTTCTGAAAGTTCTTCCACTACTTTGTTAGTTGCATCCCCTATTACCAAATCTTCATCTTTTTTCTGATTTTCTATTTCACCATAAATCACATCATGTATAGAATTAGAATACAAAATAGAGATTTGGTTTTACAAAACTTTCATAAATGTAAACAGATCATAAATCGATTGCAAAACAAGAATTAATGGAATTCTGCTTTGCAGAGCTATATTAAGAACATTGAATGACAGCAAAATGAATTGTACATAAAAGCAAAAGACTTTGTTAAAGTTCAAAAACAAAAACATAAATATTCATTCTTCTCAAGATAAACTTACAGTTACCAGAAAATGTTTCCCTTCTTGAGCAATTTTTTTTTTTGAGAGAAATTTGTATCAGCTTTATGTTTATATTTTGTAGTACAGTACAAAGTCCGTAATGCAGACTCGTCGCGCGATTCCAGATTAGGAGTTTTTCCGGATTATAGATCATCAATTTAAATCTGGTAGGATAGCATGCAGAAATTATACAATTAAAAATATGAAACCGTAATTTATAAAATAAAGAGCAATTATGATCCAAAGGGTTCCAAATTTTACACAAAAAAAGCTTAATATTTATTTGTTTACTTTATTAAACATTTCTTTCAATGCAGGTTGTTTAAGTTGCTTCGTTTTTTGTGCTAATACGTTCTCTTTAATTCTATAAACAGACATAATTTCTTGTTCAGTTACAAAGTTCCACTGTTCAAGTACTGTAATTGCTGTGCCGAAAATACTGACTAGCTTGTCAATCGAAATTTTTTCGTTTTTTCTCTCTGTCACTTTCTTCATGCCTTTATCCATTTTTTGCAATAATTCCGCTTTTTGTTTGATTGACATTGAAACATGCTTTCGCTTTGTAGATCCTTTGGCAGCTCCAGAATTGGAAACTCTTTTTGACATAATCGAAAGTTCAAGCTTGATTTTTATAAAACTGCTATAATAATAACAGTCTACAAAAAATAATAAAGCTCGGATCAAATTAGAAAGATTAAGGCAGCAGCGCAATCTTGCAACATTAACTGAATAGATGCCTTAGAATCATTTTAGCCTAGCTTATACTGTCCGTTATACATTAAACACGCATATGTAAACGTATTATGCGCGAGTGCATGAAGTTTGTAGCTTTGAGGTCCAGATTATAGATCATTCCAGATTATGGACATCCGGATTAAAGACTTTGTACTGTATTATTTTGAGAACTGCCAATTAAATTGCTCACTGGTACAGAAATTACTTTATTTTTCCCAAACCTATTTTTAACAGTGGATGTAGTAACTGAATCTTCAGGAAATAAAAGAAGGAAAGTCATCTGTGTACAATTTTTGAAAAGAACATGAGTATTTTACCTTTCTCACAGATTTAAGTACAATAAAAGATCGTAATTTCTTAAACTATTTGTTGAAAACATGCACCCACACCACTCAGCGACAGGATGAACAAAATAATAATCTCGATCTTGCTTTGTGCTCATTGGCTAATATATGCCCCATGACATGCAGTAGCGCTCGATGCTCACTGGAGAATTGGAACATGTTTTCAGACACGTGCTCTCGCTCACAAAGCAGAAGCAAGCCATAATTTTTCACTCATGGAACAACTTTGGTTTTGTTTTATATGTAATCTAGAGAAAAACCAAGTGCTTTTCAGACACTCAAAATCACTTTTTTTTTTTGGTGCAAATAACGAAGCATTAAGCCAAGCTACATAAAATTCGTGAGAAATTTTAAAAAAGAGAAAGCTGGGACAAATATGTTGTCAACTGGGTAGATGGGAGAACGGTCAGAAATCGAGAAAGTTGGTAAATCTGAATATGTAAAATACAAGACTGTACTAATGTCTTTTTATACACAAACTTATACTTCTAATTAAATAAACAGATACTAATACATATCGATAAAATTTTAAATATGTAAAATAGTTTTAAAAAAATGAAATCTAAAGTTAGATGTTTAGCAAAGAGATGTCCGGGTTAATGGTTACTGTTGTCCCCTGTTCATATTTGAATCTGCAGCCATAGATTGTCGATTCGTGAAAATCCAATTCCTTACTATTTGCTAATAATATTACATCTTTTTATTATATAATCGATTTATATTTAATACTTCATTTTTTAATTTTGTGGTTTTCTATATGATAGGTCATAAAGCCTGAATTGGAACACTCAGCAAAAAATGCAATATTTCAAGAGACCTGGACAGAATCATTTGGAGTTATTGAACACAATAGGAAAGCATTATGCCTTCTGTGCGGGGAAAGTGCTGTGTGTCGCACATCTAGTGTCACCAACAGACGACACTTTAATACCAACCACAAGATTGTTTCCGAACTTGATGAAGCTGAAGGGAAACTAAGGAATTATAATTACCAGAAAGTCTTAGCAATAATCTTTCTGAAACAAACCATCTAACAATGGACAGCTTTCAAATTTCACTATGCCTGCCAAAACATGGTAAGTTGTTCTCTGATTGGGATTTGATTAAAGAGGTTATGTTGTTCGGGAGTAATTCCCCTTTTCATGGCTTTCCAGATAAGGAGAAAATTAAACAACGTATCGCTGAGATGCCACTTAGCAGAAATACTATTAAAGATCGAGTCCTGTGCATGGTAAGTGATATTGGTCAGCAGCTCACCGCTGACAC